TTTATATTGGCTCTAACTTTATGGCCCCATTGAAGTTTTGGCCTTCCTCTTTTACGTTTGCCCATCACTTCCAAACTTTCAACTTTATTTCCTATGTAGTTCATAGGCCTTCTCATTGTGTGCCCATACCACCTAAGTCTGTTTACCATTAATTATATACAAAAGGCTAATTAATTGTTATTATAATATTTATATAATATTAACTGCACACCTTCCATATGATATAATTGACTAGATTTAAAATGAAAAATCTATTATGATCAAAGAGAAAAGGCGGGGAACGGTAGGGGGGGGGGGAGTAATAATTAATTCCAAATTAAAGGATCTTTATAAATCTTCCGTAATCATATGGTTTTCCCCATTTTTTTTTTTCCTTTTTCTAATTCAAATCATTTCGCATCTATTTAAGGGGAAATTTTTTTTTAAAAAAAAATATTTAATAATAATTATGCAGCTTGTCAAAATACCTTATCAACTAAAATCGTAGTATAATCATTTTTAGTCTTGATGGGTGTGACCTGAGGGGGTAGGAAATTTTTAATCTCACTTCCTTTACATTCAAGTCGTCGTAATCGACGCATATTATATATTTTTTTTTTCACAATTGTAAATGTAAACCTAAAAATATAATTAAGCAAAATTAGGGGAGACCGGGGTTAGGTGAACCCCGGGGCTTGGCAAACCGCTATATCTTCGTTTTAAAATTAAAAGCACTAAAATATTAAAATTTTAATCCTACCATAGTTTTGATTAGTTTACATCTTATTTGCAAAAAAATCTTTCGAAATATTTAATAATTATTAAAAATTTTATTTTCCAACATGACAAATTTTTATTTATTTTTTTTATTAAAATATATATTCATTTATATGTAAATTAAATTTTATAGCAAAGTTTAAACATTCTTCTAAAATTTGGGAAAGTTTTATGAGTATTTATTATATCTAGAGATATTATTTCAATCATGATTTGTCAATTTAGAGCTAGCGGGGTTCGCTAAACCATACACGTCAATTATGGCAGTTAATAATGTAAAAAAAAATTCAAAATCTTGATAAGGCTATTTCATAGCTGTTTTATGATTGTTATTTAGGATTTATGTTAAGAAATATTAATCTCTACTTAATATCCTCATTTTTATGTCCAAAATGTTTATTAAATTAACCATAATTAAGTTCAATTTATAAGTATTATGATATTTTGAACAATAAACGTATAATAAATAAAAATGCATTTCAATTTTTTATGGCCTAAAAAAATCAATGGTTTAGGAAGCCCCTTGAAGTGGTTTGCCCCAACCTCGCTATTGGGGCTTGTTGGACGAAATTTCCACTTTTACAAAAAAATAAAATTTAAAAAAAAAATTATTTTATTCTTAAAATTTCTTATAAGGCATTTTTATAGAGTGTATAGTTTTAGGTATCTAATCATATATTATTTTTTATATTATCTATAAAAAAAACCAGGAGCTATAGCCAATTTTGTAAAAATAGGTTCCAACTAACCCCAGTCTCCACTATATATTGTCGGATTGACAGAAACATACTATACAAACAAAACATATCTCATATAAAATTATTTCTTAAAAAGGATGACTAAAGTTAAATTCCAGAGTTGTTAAAAGATACTTTTTAAATGGATCTAGATACAGATACATCGTCTAAAATAATATCTAGATACAGATATTTTAATCAAAAATCTATCTAGATACAGATACCACATTTTTATGTCTAGATACAGGATCTAGTTACTTGTATCTAGATCCTTTAACAACTCTGTTAAATTCTAATTGTCTCAAAGCAAAAAAAAAAATACTAAAAATAAATGTCGGTATGAATGGGCTAAAAAAATTGCGTTTGATAGATAACTTTTGAATACAGAGAGCTACCGCTACTAAATGAACATATTGTAGATGGTATGTTCAGAAGATAGAAATATATCCTTTGACTCAGTTAGAAGCAATTAACTCTAAAGGTGTAAAAATTTTTGGCACCACCTTCCTTTATACTCTGGCATGTTTCCCATGTAAGTTATATAGATTCGTTTTCTTACCCCCACCTTGCCGGATGGCATCTGCTTTCCCTACACCTATTAAGTGGCTCATTTTTTCATAAATTTTATCCGCTAGTTTCTGCTTAATATAGCAAGTTTAATAATAATTTAAGCGTTACCACGGGAATTATAATTAGAAAAGATTTGATATATTATCGCAAACAATATGATTTCATCAAAATACTTCAATTTTAAAAAATTACTATTATACGTATCATCTTATCAGGGAATCTTAACTTTTATTTGATAGTTATCAACTATTTGTCGTTAAATTTATTATTAAAAATTTGATTTTAAAAGATCAAAAAATTACGTGTTTGCAAAGTCTTTTTTTTGTCACGTGTTTGGTTTAGGGCAAAAAGGTAAATGTTGATTGGGGCCGAACCAAAGAAAGGTACAATTTATTTTAATTTTATCTGTCTTAAGTCGGGGTTGGTGACAGGGAGAGAAAAAGCCCTGTCGGGCGGAAGTTAGAGGGACTCAAAAAAGGATTCTCCCAAGTCTATTTCCTTTCATTTCTACTTTATACATATTTATATAACGTTTGAGAATGGTGAGTATTTAGATGCACTATAAATAATTTCGCTTCATTCAACTAGCTTGATTAATTCCCGTGCTTCTAGATTAATCTGCTTCTTATTGGCTCGTAGTCTATTTTTAATTATTTTTAGTTTAATCAACTTAAAACACATATTCATACATTAAATGTAAGTTGGTTACTGCAAATTATATAGATCTAGTTTTCGAAATTATAATATCTCGTAAGGCCTCAAGTGTATTATTTTGACATTCACCTGTGATATTTTACAGGACAAATTCCTTTGGCCATCTTTAAATCGATCAATTTTTTATTGGTAATAATTGTCATATTTATGGTGGTCATATGTCTCGAAAAGGTAAGAAAATTCATTGAACTCAAATAATATTTACCATCCTCAAATATTTTATCAGTTTAAAATTATTTGTTTCCATTTTTATAGAGGACCAATTATTTTGAATTGATCACGTGGCAAAACAAAAGAATGACACAACTATATCATTTTATATATCTTTAAACCAGTGGGTAAACTGCGAGAGGAAAATCGTTATTGAACGAAAGTTGGAAGGGCCAAAAAATGTGTTCCTGAGGTTGTTTTTCCAAATCTTTATTTATAAATTTTTAAGAAATTAAAAAAGTGGATGGCTGGTGGCGAATAATATATTTTTTGGGCCGGTGTAAAAAGGAAGTGTTTGGCCTAGTTGTCGAAGCTCTGTCGGATGATTTATGATAAATTTGCTTCTGATTTATTTTGAATTTGGTTTAGCGATTCCCAATTACAACTTTCTTCCAAATAACCAATAATCCCCTGAGTTGTATGGTAAATGTGTAATATAAAATGCATAAAAAGTAGATGGAGGTTAGCAGAGTTGTTAAAGGATCTAGATACAAGTATCTAGATATAAAAATGTGATATCTGTATCTGTATCTAGATATATTTTTGATTAAATAATCTGTATCTAGATATTATTTTAGACGTTGTATCTGTATCTAGATCCATTTAAAAAGTATCTTTTAACAACTCAGGAGGTTAATGACTAGAAAAATTAAATATTATATAGTTTAATAAGATTTTGAAGAAAAACGTGGAAGGGCAATGGACAATTTAAGAATAATATTAAACAAGAAACAACATATAGATATTAAATGGTTAAACGTAAACCTCTACGTCATCGATTATTCCCCCCCCCCCCCCGATAACTTTTGTGGCATCTAGCTGTCCATTGAATTTGAAACGCGCAAAAAAAAATCTTAGCAGCTCCACCCTTTCCTGTAAGTCTTTCCAATTCATAAATCTACACATAACTGGCCGATTTTAGTATCATCCTTGTCCACTAGAAGAATTATATTTACCATATGCCTGATCAGCATCATGGCCATTTTCATTTAAAAAAACACTTTTAAAGATGGGTTAAGAAGATTTGTCGTAACTGGGATATTTTTTTTTAACTCTGAGCAAATTCCCTACCTCATCCTTGTAGTAAAGAAGTAATCTATTGTAATATTTCATCATATTATATTTGCCAGTTAGATATGATTATATATATATATTTTTACGATTAATATAATAGGTGTTGTTTAACTTCCTAATGTATTATGTACACACCCATCCATTAACGTGTAATTATATATCGCCATTTGTAATTAAGTTGCACCTTATGGTAAAATTATACTGAATAAAATGTCAATGAAAACTGATACTTATTGTGAATGAATTATAGAAATAAATAAATGTAAATAATGGTTCTACCTTCGTTAAAATCCTCACCATCGAATACACTGTTATTATTCCCGATCTGTCGCGTCTCATTATCTCTCTTTTTTTTGAAAACACTCTTTGAAAATTGAGAGACAAATTTTTATTACAGGGATCATCATATAAGTACCTCTGACCTAATTATTTACACCATCTTCGGTAAGCGGAAATTAATTTGGCGGAAAACAATCCCCAATAATAATTCTTCGAAAATAATTCCCTGAATTGATTTTCTCAAAATTTTTTAAAATATTTTATTTTTGAAGATTTTTATTTCGTGGATATATTTATATAAAAAAACTTTCTCCTATTTTATTAATTTTTAATATCTTTAAAAAATGGGATATTTTTTTGGGGGGAATTACTTTTCCTAGATAAATTATCTTCAATATTTATTTTTTTTTCACTCACTAAAAAAAAAGTTTGACTGGTTAATAATAAAGAAAAATTGATCTTGTAAACAGATTTAAAAAAATCGATCAGCTGTTAAATTGTGTCGGATAGGATCCTACCAAGAATCCCAGCCTTAGCCTTCCTTAAAATTAAATAAAAGAATACTATAATATAATTGCTAATAATCTTTAGAAATAACTATAAAGATGGACTATTTTAATATTTACATTTATATACAGGAATTGCAATTTGATTGAATAACAAAATAAATAAATATATTATATAATATTATATTAAACATTTTTATAATCTATAATATAACAGGTAATTTTCAATTAAGTTTCATGTTCGTTGAACTTTGATGGCTTTAAGAATTGTATCGGTGATTGACAGTGATTTCGTGACTTCGCTAATAAACGCGGCGATCAATAAATCCTTGAAATGTTCTTGATAATACATATGATTTTTTTAAATTGCACATTTTCAAAGCATTTATATATTTTTTCGCAATTAAAATAAATCTATGTGATCAATTAGAGATGTCTTATAACTAAGTGATCGGTGCCCAAGTTGATCGACATATAATTTCTAAATATAATTTTTAATCTTACATTATTATTATTAGCTCATTCATTTATCGATATAACCCGAAAAATTATTAAATAATTTAACCGGTAAATGCTGAATAGAAGATTTTATTGAATAAACCATTCCAATAACATTTAGCATAAGATTAATGCTTATTAAGCGTAAATTCAAGCTCGCGCGGCCCGATTCGGTGGACATAATTTATATAAAACAAGGAGAACCGATCCATACCGGGATACATGTTGCAGAACTGAGGTAAATATTGGAAAGCGGTTTTAATAATATCCGGGTCCGAACTGGAGATCAAATCCCAATAAATCCTATACAGACCATTCATGGACTTCTCCGAAAGATGTCTCCAGCAATGAGTTATAATGTCGAGAATAATGTCCAGGTATTTTTGGTCGGTTGACTTTAGGATGAATTGAGAATTGAGCAATTTCGTGGCCTGTTTCTAATGTGTTAAGGTTTTTTTTTGTTAAATATAAAATATACTAGCTATTAGCCCGCTCATTGAAATATGAGCGTTATTATGATTATACGCTGAATACGCATGCGTCCATAGTTAATAACATAAATTAACGCTGATTTTTGATTGGTGTAATTTTTCAAAAAAATAAATACACGTAATATCTATATTAAAAAGTCTAAATTTTTGTTAAAAAAGGGGGGATAATTAATGATAATTTAAATTAATTTTACCCCCGAAACGATAACCTAATCATATCTACATTGAATCATTCCAATTTTGTCTAGTGTGTATATATATGTTGGCGGCAATGTGTTATTTTTTCAAATTTAAATCATTTTTTTGGCACGTTTAAATTCGAAAATATAATTTTACCGAAAGAGTATTTCCGGCAGGTTTAGGATATCTATATTAGGAATCGTAGTTAATTTTAACGTCGACTTTTGAGTCGTTTATAATTTGAAAAATCAATGAGTTTCAAATTTCATGGAAAAATTGTTTTGAAATTCATAGGGCAGGTATACCAATCATAGTGGAATCAGTGTTGTTAAACGACTCATTTTGTGCCGATTTTATAAAACGGCTAACTTAATATTTTAGCCAAATAAATATTGTCTAAGGCTCCAGATTACGTTAATAGATGTCTAGACCCTTGAGCCATATACGAAGAAAATCTTCAGGCTTGGGTAATATTTTTGTGGATAATATAATGAGTTAGCCGTTTTTAAAAATCGACTCAAATCGAGCCGTTTAACAACACTAAGTGGAATACATTTCAGGTTATAATCAGATTTTTGAATTTCAAAAAATGGCGATCAAAAAAATGATCGAAAGTTTAAAAAATAACACATTTGTCGCTAACATACATACATATATATATTTAATTTATTTAAATGGCAAATTATGTTGCCTAATCTTCAAAAATTGATTATTTGGAGGAAAATGGACCTTTGGTTTGTGTTACTCTATCGGGCTACAAAAAAAAAAATTATATCTAATTTTTATAACGTTTCGATTTAAAGGGTTAAATAGATTTGGAATTCATTTTAATATATCCCTTTAGCTTAACCGCTACGCATTCAAGACGCTTTTCTAAAAACGATGCAATCAATCGAAATCTTTATTCAAGGTATCGAATAATCGGAAGGTATTTAAAAATTTTAGATCGTACCCGTGCTATTTTACACCTATCCAACAAAGATACAGTTTGAATGACGGCTAAAAATCGATTGATTCGGTTCAGTTCGCAAGGCGCGCGCTGAAGATAATCCGCCTAGTTATTGAGGCTCTATTTATTTACGCGTTTTTTGCGAAGTTGATTCGATATTTTAAACACAATCCCAAAGCTTTCGAAATGATTAAATTATTGGTCCCCGCGAAAGATAGAACAATTTTATTAACTTACCAATCTCGATAAATGTTTTTTTTTTAAAAAAAGTGAAAATATATTATTTTTTTTTCTTATTTACCAAAAATGGTTCGACGATATCTGGATGTGATTTGGCGTAGGAAAGGAATTCTTTCAAAAAGGATAACATGTCTTAATGTGTTATAAAAAAAAATGATGTATATGTTAAAATTATTTAAAAGTTGGCAGTGTTTTGGATCAGTCAAATTTAGATCCCCATTATCGCGATATATTTTGTATTATAAAATCGATTACTACTATCCGACTCGAGGATAATTGGCCGTTTCAACAGCTGATTCATTTAAATTTCTATTCGTTCGATTCACAATCACGTGACCTGTCAGATTTGACCATTAAAAATCATTTTAAATATTTACGTGGTCTGTGCTCTACTGGCAAAATTGTTATAAATAGGGAAAAAAACGATTTTTAAGGTTTAGATTCGAATAAGAAAAACGCAAAGATTAAATATAAGTTAAAAAAAAATTGAAAGGTAAATTTATAATAATCAGAGTTGTTAAAGGATCTAGATACTTGTATCTAGATCCTGTATTTAGATATAAAAATGTGGTATCTGTATCTAGGTAGATTTTTGATTAAAATATCTGTATCTGTATCTAGATATTATTTTAAACGTATCTGTATCTGTTTTTAGATACTTTTATTTAACGCTTTTTATATTATAAGCAAAAATAGTTGAATGCAAAATTTATTTTATTTCATATGAGCATATAATTTAAATATATATATATATTTAAAAAAAAAATTAAGACTACTATAATAAAAAATATTAAAATATATAAAAAAATAGATATATAAATATTCATTAAATATTATGTTAGAGTTTATCAATAAACTAGACAAATTCATTACTATGCAACTCAAGAAATTAGCCATTTATTTTCATTAATTTTATTTTATTATACTAATTTTAAAAATTTATTTTAGATTAATATTAATAGTGATGAAGAGGAAGAAGTAATAATCAATGAAGCATCAACAAGTTCAGACATTGTTCTCATGGCCAATTTATAGAGCATATTTTAAAATAATATCTCAAAATAAAAAAAAACAAATTTCTGATAGTAAAATGTTTGCCATATCTACAAAAAAATACGAAAATTTCAATTAGCATCTTACCTTAACTTGCAACATTGTAAAACATTTAAGGGTATAGATACTAAATAAAATGTTTAAAATTGTAATTTTCAATTTTAAGAGAAAAAATCAAAGACTGTTAGTGAAAAAAACAATTAATACAAAGATTAGTTGATGAATTATCAAGGTCTTCAACTGATTACAAACAAATAACCTGCGAGAAAAAAAAAACAAATAATTTAATATCCTATTTTTTTCAGTACCTCGTAGCAGCAGATATGATTGTTAATAATGATTTAAATTTTGATACTCAACAAATTTTAAATAATTTTTTTGAAAACGAATGCCCAGATTTTAGTATTTTTAAAGAATATCCTGATACAAAATTGTTATTCATAAAATATAACACCACACAATCCCTTCAAGTGCCCTGGTAGAAAGGCTTTTTAGTGTAGTTAAAAATGTCTTTACGGATTAACGAGGATGCCTTAATGACCAAAATTTTGAAAATATTTTATTACTGAAATCTAATAATTATTCATAATCATTTAATCATATATTTTCATATAAATATAAAAATAATTATTTTAATTTTGATAAATGTGATATCTAGTCAATAAAGTTTTTAGCTCATTGCATACTTTTTCACAATAGAATCCTAATTTAAGGTTTATGCAAAGCTTATATAAGAGTATTAAAAAATTGTATCTGTATCTAGATACATTTTAAAATTGTATAGCTGTATCTGGATCTAGACAACTTTTTAGACGATGTATCTGTATCTAGATAACTTTTTGACTATGTATCTGTATCTAGATCCATTTAAAAAGTATCTTTTAACAACTCTGATAATAATAATACTATTTTATTTCTAAATAATAGGCCTAAAAAAATCTAAATTACTCATAATTTTTTTTTGCGAGAATTTTTTAAGAAATATATATAGATTTTTTTTTGCGAGAATTTTTTAAGAAATATATATAGATTTTTTTTTGCGAGAATTTTTTAAGAAATATATATAGGATTAATCGATTATATTAGAGGAATATAATGAAGTAACATGTGGTGGTAAATAAAGTAATGATAAAATTTTCTTAACAGTTATAACAATAAATCACAAATAAAATTAGGGGAAGGGGGATAAAAGAATAGACAGATACATTACGGATACTTTAAAGCTGGTGTTTGTTAAACGGTTCGATTTGAGCCGATTTTTAAAAACGGCTAACTCAATAATTTAGCCGGAAAAATATTGTCTAAGCCTCGAGTTTTCGTTAGCAGATGTTTCAAACCTGTGTTGCCGTTTATGAGTGAAAATCTTATTGGCTTGCATAATATTTTTTCCGGCTAAAATATTGAGTTAGACGAGCCGTTTAACAACACCACTTTAAACTACGAGAATACAACAAAATAAAAAAAAATGTATATATTTGGATAATAGAACAGTAGTTCAAGATAATATTAATTCTTTAAATAATAGATTAAACGACGTTTATAAAATAGTGCTGTTAAATGACCATATAATATTCAGGTTGGTTTCTAAAAAAGGCCCGATTATAATTATAACCAAAATGATAATGCGTTAAGCCTAGAGATTTGGCTAATAGAGGATATAAGCCTTTCTGCTATCTACGAGAAAAATCTCCAAGGTTTACATGATAATATTTTGGCTAAAATCTTGTTAGGGTCGTTTCTAAGTTATGATGCTGCTCCTTTTTTTTGTTAAAGTAATCGCCATTAAGTTATACAAGTCAGTTTATTACATAAAAACGTAACACTATGAAATACTTGGAATTAATGTTGTTAAACGGCTCGTTTTGAGCCGATTTTTAAAAACGGCTAACTCGATATTTTAGCCGGAAAAATATTGTCTAAGCCTCGAGATTTCGGTAATATATGTCTAGACTCTTGTTCCTTCTATGAACAAAATCTTCAGGCTTAGGTAATATTTTTCTAGATAGCACACTGAGTAAGCCGTTTCTAAAAATCGGCTCAAAACGAGCCATTTAACAACACTACTTGAAATGATTTACTTTGATAAAATCAATATTCCTTTTTGCAAATTAAAAAAAAAAGGGTAAAATTCACCAACTTTCAGAGCTCTTATTGACGCTCATGAGGGAATTAAAGGCCTGCGATTCGACGTCGTTGTTCCTGTCACCACCGCCGGAGGCTAAATCCGGAACACACGATATAACCCTGACTAATCTTTCCATCATAGCCCTATTACGCTTGGGGTCCGAAGATGTCTGGAAACTCAAGCCGGGAGGTTCGCGGTAAAAATCTTCCGCGAGCTTTAGGGGAATCGCGTGTTGGGGATCTTCGTCGGTACCGCCTCCTCCAGATTTCTTTGTCGTTTCTCGCGTTAGGAGAAGGGAGTTGTTCGAAGCTGTCCTAGCTTTCCAAAATGGGGATTGAATGATTTCGTGGTAATGCGGACCGAGATTTCTGAAAAAATAGAGGGAAATGATGAAAATCGCGCAAAAAAACATATGTTACGATGCGATGATAGTCGAATCAGCTGTGATTTCGCTAGCGATTAATTTCGCACAGCTCGAACGAATCGCGCTCAACCAAAAATGGCAGCATAGTCTTTAATTTAATACATTTATTTTTTAAAAAGTGGCGGCTTACTTAACTATAACCGATATATTGATTCATTCATTCACTAACTTTATAATATCCGATTTGGTGTTGGAGAAATATTTGCCGCTGCTCGGATTGCACAAGATATAATTCTTGGTCAAATTCATGATCCTTTTCACGTGAAAGCCCATTTTATACGTTTGCGCGGAATAAGTCTTGTCGTTCATATTTTTTTTTTAGATATGAGAGTGCAAGATAAATTATATATATATTTTTAAAATAAAATAAGATTCATCATTTTCTTCTTTTATTTCTTTATTTATTTCGCGTTTATTCATTTAATTCGTAATAATGTGGTTGGGAGTGGGGGGGAGTGGCACAACATCTCCGGGTGGTTAATAGAGGTTCAAGCGGTCCCCTATATTCTGAGGAAAATCTAGTGGTAGAAAGAGCATCTGATAACAAAGAAGGAACCGCTACAAAATCTCTGATCAAGACAAGAACTTATTTTTCACCCCCTCTCCCCTCCCTTTAAAAAAAAGTAAATACTTTAACGAAGTCAAAAAAGGTATCCATAAGAGCATCGGTATTGTAAGTTTGGTAGTAAAACAAGTGAGGTTGAAGATTATGGGCAATGAGTATGATAGTTTTGAAGAAAGTGAAATGCCCTTTAGCTATGAAGGCAGGGTACGTAAGATGAGTGCGACCCTGCAAGAGGGTATTCATTAGCGGCAGATGTCTATTTATATAGTATATGTATATATTTTTTCTTCGTATAAAAATACCAAACCGCCGTATGATCAAGGAATATGTTATCTATAAAAAAAAATGGCATTTTTCTGTGGAAGATGCCAATCAGAAATCTGGGAAGCCTGGACCTCAGCGGTTGGCACCCAATTCGTACATATAAAATTGTGTCTGGTTTCACAAATTCTCTCATCATCGATATTCTTTGAAATAACAAAAATTGTCTTAAACTAAATTAAATTTTTTTTAAAAAAATGACCTCCTAACTTTTTTTTTATTAGTGTTGTTAAACAAGCTAAATGTGAACAGATTTTTTTTAAAAAATGGCTAACTCAATATATTATCCATAAAGAAATATCGTTCTAACCCGAATATTTTGATCATAGTTTGGGCAATATTTTTTTTTGGCTAAATGATTGAGTTAGCCGTTTATAAAAAATATTGAATCAAAATCGAGGCCGTTTAACGCTACTCATTTTATAGAAAAATTTTAAGCCGACCCTAACATTTGGTAAATAATAAGCTAGATCGGCTATTTGTGAAGCAAACCGGAATTAAAGAAGAAGAGTAAAAAAAGGAATATTTTTTTTTTGTTACGTTATAAAGCCATTATAAAATTATATAAAAGTAAATTATTATTTTTTTTAAATAAAATTAAATATATATTTTTCGAAAAAAAAAAATTCCACTCCATGTTCCTTGGGGATTGTTGTTACCGATTAGTAACAATATAATTATTTTATTACCTTTTCTTCTTATTATTACTTGTATCTAACAGAGTTGTTGAAGGATCTAGATACTTAGATATAAAAATGTGGTTTCTGTATCTGTCTAGATAGATTTTTGATTAAAATTCTGTATCTAGATCTTTTTAAAAAGTATCTTTTAACAACTCTGGTAGTTAACGAATCAATTTATATTACCTTTAATTTTGTTAATGCGAGTTTTGCAGCTATATTTTATATACATCATATAAATTGATTTACTTTTGATATATTAAAGAGATCTTATTATAAAACATTATCAGTTTTTTTTTTCAATTAATTTTGCATTTGGAATTCATAAAATATACCATTTTGCATGTTTAATTCTTATTTAAAACCTTATATTTGAACTGAGCTAAATCTATACAATTAATACCCATAAGCTAATTTTCCCCCAATACCGACTAATAAATGGACCATAACAATTATCAGGGCAAGACCTTCCCGCCTGTCAATAGGGAAATAACAAATGAGGTAACATTGTATAACCACATATAGATTTTATACTTAAACAGGTATTTATAAATGGCACGCTAATATTTAAGGCCGCGGAAATTATAATGGTTTATTTCGGTTTCGCGACTTGGTTAAACAATCTCTTTTTTAAAAGATTTCGCGCGTTTTAATAGAAGTGTCACAGATCAAATCCAACCATGATAATTGGTAATCCGCGAATTTATATATATATATAAGAAAGAACCTGAGAATCAAATGAGGGTGATATTTGCAAATTGTCAAGACGAATTCCTTGGCCCTATCAGATTGGATGGTTAAGGATTCGCTTTTATCGCTGGACCGCGCCATGAGAGCGATATTCCTATCTAGCCCCTGAGTTATAACAGTGAAAAGTGTGGAGTCGCTATTGATATGCGATACATCGGTTATAGTCGAGAGCGGATTTGCTGTATAACGGTCTAGGGGTACGTTGACAATGAGGGAAGTAAAAAAAAAAAGATAGAAATAAAAAAAAAAAGATAGAAAATTAGGATAAATATTTAGATTTCGCCAATGACATAATAATAATACCTAGACTGACTTTAAATTTAAAATAATAAATACTATATATTATTAATGACTTTCTCGAATGTGATTGTGGATATTACTAATAAATTCATCAAAAGTGTCCATCAACGAAAAACAGCCGGGGACGCCATTTTGGTAATCCATATCATTATTTAAAAATTTTTAAACGAGAGGCCAATTTATTCCTATGTCAGACGCAAACATTATTAAAGAATTGCCTGATCATCGAGGAAATAAGGAAGCAAGTTATCAATTTAACAAAATACTATACATGGGTTAACAAAATGGCGGGTCCAGCTGATTTGCATTTAAAGACGCTTTCAAATGCCCCGTTTTTTGTATTCTTACAGTTTCTATCATCTTTTCAAATCCCCCAAAAAATGAATCCAGACTTCTTTGCTACACTTAACCCAATGACCAACGGCAGCCATTAATAAGTTGATATTTTGTTTTTTTTTGTATAATAATAATCCACCAAACGATAAATAAGTTTTCACTTAAAACATCCCGGCGTCAAATATCATTACTCGCAATTATTGTTAAATTATGATTATTACGCTCTAGGGGGGAAGTGGAAATTTTGGAGTTGGAAGTAGACGGGGCTAGCGTGTACGGGTGGCGGGTTACGATATCCCTGAAATAGTTGGGCCCGATGTCCTCAAAATCGTAGCGTAAATAATTAACTTTCGTTTTATCAAGAAATTCTTCCGCTGCGATATGAGAAGGTAGGGATGGGGTGCTCCGGAAGTCGGAATATAGGTGCAAGGATTTGGGGAATCGCAGGTACGTTTCATAGGCGAGGCGACATAGACTGCGTTGGGTGATGGCTAAAAATGAACTTTTTTGTTATTTTTTATTATATATAAATTTAAAAAAAAAGAAATAAAATAATTTTGAATTTCCGCAAACCCGAAATTAGGTTTTAATCAGCTGATATGTATAAAAAAATGTAATACACGATTTTTTTATAAAAAAAAATACACATGTTTCTAGTCTTATCCAATAGTTTTTCTTTTTAAAAGTGGCATGAGCCCCCCCCCTTCTAACCTACACACCACATGAATAAGGCCGAATTCATAGTGGGATCCGATCTGACACGACTTTAACAGCTGATCGATATTAAAATCGGTTTATGAGAATCAATTTTTCTTTATTAAAACCGATATTTCTTAGGTTATTATCAGGTATAAAATTTAAGATAAAATTAATATTATTTTATAAAAAAAATTGATTCTCATAAAACCGATTTAAAAATCGATCAGCTGTTAAATTTTGTCGGGTCCGATCCCACTACGGCCTAAGGCATAATATGCAAAAAAAAATATTATCAAAATAAATACTTTTATTACATTACGATAATTTAAAAAAAAAATGGTCATTCATTAAAAATGGTAGTTAAAATATTTTCTTTTGTCTCGCGCGCGGGGATCGGATTAAAATTAACATTTTCCGGAAAAGGAAGAGACTCACGCGAAGTGCCGAGTGATGGATTTACTTAAAAACCACGGTACTGAAGTCATACCATCTGGCCTCAGGTGCATCAGCTGATGATAAATTATCAGGCTCCGGGATGTTTAAATATTAGGGAGACCTTTCGTAAGACGATGACTAATTATTGCATTAATCGCCGCAAGCCTCGACTATATATACACAATTAAGACTTAGAATGAAATCCACCAACTTGTTACATTTAATACATGTGCGCGATTGAACGATACCGCATCTAATTCGGTGGTCCATGGCATTGAAAGGTTACGACTTGGTAACGGTTCTGACCAATCAGATACAATTAATCATCATTATGTAATAGTTGGAATAGATCCCGAAGAGGGATTCGATGAGACTATTTTAATAAATTTTTAATTTAAAGGTTCAAAAATTGATTGGAGTGTTAAGAGACTGTGAATAAAACAGATCCTGGTAGGATCATAGATTTCCAAAGAGTCAAGGCGGAATTAAAGGGGTTATTTGAGGGTGATAAAGGAAGATATTAATCGTGTAGTTCATCAAATGTGACGCCAAAAATGAAGACAGTGGTATAGGGTTAAGTTTTCTCGTTTATGAAAGTAACCGAGAGAAACCCCAGTTAAAATCTCCCAATTCTGTATTTAAACTATTTCCAAACATATTTCTTAAAAAAAACCTTCATAAAAAAGATTAATGGTATAAAAACGGCTCAATTAGTCAGAAAAATATTGCCTAGGCCTCAAGATATCGCTAACAAATGTCCAGACCTTTGACCATCTATGACCAAAATCTTCAACCTTGCGTTATATTTTTTCTGGATAAAATATTGAGTTAGCCGTTTAACAACAATAAAAATAAATACTTCTTTTTTTTTAAAAAAAAAAGAACAAAATTTTTGGTATGAAGGCATACATTTTTAAAATATCTTCCATCCAAATACTGAAATATTTTTTTTTTTAAAAAAATATGATTTTTAAACCTGCGATCATTCGAAGAACCGGTGACACTTTTAACCGTAAGCTCGAGTTTCGCCAAATTTCGGCAGACAAACTTTACAAACACTTTGAGATACGCCGGTTTGGTTAACAGGCAGTGCCTCAGCAGTTTGTCTACTCTGGGGGAAGCGGTTTCGTTTCGATATTTCGTGGCGGCAGCGTTTTCGCGAATACTGTCGTTGTTATACTCCCGAATCACGTAGACTAGCGTGGCCTTGAATTGGTTTTCGTCGAAATCCAGTATCAATTCCTCTTCGTATTTCTGTGCCAGACAATTCCCAAAAGAAAAGAAGAAGAAAAAAACAATAAAACCTGGTAAGGGTCTTGGTCACGTGGACACACTCGGCGGTAAGCGTTATCAAGCGCCCCAATTTTTTTTTTAAAAAAAGGGACCGATCAAGATTTTCGCCAAAATAATATAACGTAAGCCCAGATTGATCGTAGATGGCAGAAAGGTTTTGGACCACTAATTTGCCAAATGTCGAGGATTACATGATATTATTTTAGCTAAAATCTCCCACCACCCAGCTGTTCTTTATTTATAAGATTACCGAAGAAAAGGTATTTCTAATAACAATTATATAGGCATATGGATGATAAAAATGCTAAAAAAGCGTAATTAACCTTTTTATTTCTCATATCCCTTCCTTGCCAAATCCTAGGCAATTCCAAACAATTCTGCAAAAAGTCTAATACCAACGTTGGGTGATAACCTAATTTTTTTTTTTTTAAAAAAATAATCATTTAATTTTTTTGCCATTTAAAATATATGTATGCTATGTTAAGAAATTTAAATGTTTCGATGTCAATCAAAACATTATTTATAAAGTTTCGAAGTTTCGCCTTACCTTAAAAAAAGTATAAACGAGAAAAAATAAAAAATGTATGTTATATACTCACCCATATTTTGAGGGGATATAGCTTTGAGCCCAAAACCAATACCGGACATGTCCAATAACTTTTCTATGACCTTTCCCACACAGTTCCAGCCAGCTTCGTGGCATATGAGCGAAAGACCGAACCTCTGGAAAGGTAGGTAATACTGGTAGCGCTCCTGGAACGTGTTAAGGTGGACGCCATTTTCGGGGATTATAGGGTTCGCTCCTAAGAATTCAAATGTTCGAAGAATATATGTTGATAGTAAATAATCATCAAAATAAAAGCAGTCAATCATCGCAACTAATGTTGTTAAACGCCCCATTTTGAGCCGATTTTTTTAAAACGGCTAGCTCAGAATCTTAGCCAGAAAAGTATTTATCTAGACCTTTGTTCCTTCTATGAGCAAAATCTTCAGGCTTGCGTAAAATTTTTCTTGGTGAAATATCGAGTTAGCCGTTTTTAAAAAATCGGCTCAAAACAAGCTGTTTAACAACACTAATTCGCAACGTTTTGTGCAGGAAGTCGAGTCGTCATATTTCAGTTCAATTTCCGGTTTTTAGTTTGAAAAGGTTTGATTTGGTTTCGTTTCCGGATATTCTTGAAACAAATTTCCATAGGTTCTTTTCGGTTCTTCATAATCTTTATTAATCATAATATATATATTTTAATTTAATTTTACCCATAAATAATCTATCAAAAATATTCAAGAAGATAAAGTTGAATTTCTTTATCATTTAAATTTAAATAAGAAATAACAAATTAAGTAACATAATCATATATAAAAATGTACCATTAGTGTTTTTTTGAAAAAATTATTTTAAATTAAGCTAATCATTTCAAATTAAATAAATACAAATATCTTTTTTTAAAAAACCGTTTAAGAACCGGTTTAACAGTTCGGTTATAATCACTGTTTGGAAAAACGGGTCAATTCCGTTTTAAAAAAATGATTGCCAATTTAGTTTTACGTTATCGACTCCAACCAAAAGCCTTTCAGTTCAAATTTTGATTACGAGAATCTCTTCTTTTTTTTAAAAAAAAATTAATTCTGGGATAGAGCACTCTAATTCTCAATCGACGATGCAATAAACATTTATAAAATTGAATTTTTCTTCATTTCGTAAAAATTTTAAACCATCTTCATATTTGGCGAAAAAGATGTGGACCAATTGATCGAAAGCCTTCGTTTCTATATTCCTGGTGGAATTGATCCGAATGATCCAATCCAGCGAGAATCTGAGGAAGGAATTAATCGCGTCATCATCATCATTGATATAATCACTGGTAACGGGTGTTGTAGAATCTCTATAAAAAGGTATTGAATCATTTCCAAACTATATTTTAGTTAACCGGAAACAAACAAAAAAACTCAAAATCAAAAGACAATTTAAATATGTTTAAAATAAAATCGATATATCTTTATTTGTATATCATTTCCAAAAAAATGATGAATTCCATGCCAAATCAGACTAAGGGGAGGGGGTGAGAAGGTATGACACAGGATAGTCATTGTAAGAAGGGAGGAGTAAGATGATAGGAAGACGCTATCGTCTATTCCAGGTGAGGAGGGGGGGAGGGGGCAGGAGCTAAAAATTTTGGAGGAGGGTAATGTCGTTATTGGTTTTGAGATGTATGAGAACTTTGAATTACCCATTCGTAGCGTATCATATAACCAAAAAAAAAGAAAACTTATATGATCCATCTTAAATATGGGGAATGTATATATCAAAAATCAAAGAAAATGTAAATAGTGTTAATTAAAAGGTCAAAAAATTGCGAAAAATATTACTAAAAGCTGAATTTAAAGTGAACGTGTTATGTACAAGCGTTGCGTTATTTAACGCTAGGCGAAATCACAGCTGATTCTTCATAGAGTTAATTTTTTTTTTTTTAAATAACTAAACATTTTATATAATATTTCAGAAATATGGTATCATTTTTTATCGAATTTGCTATTATTTTTATAATCGTATCGTATATTTTTTTTATCATCGCATCACAGCGTAAGTTTTTTCAAATTTCAACACAGCGTTGTAGTGCATACAAATTGAGCATTTACGTTTTGCCGTAATTTTTTAATAAAAAAACGTAACGCATAGCTTGTTTAATTGAGGTTGCCTTTTTATTAATATCGTCGATTCAAAATTTTAAATAAGTTCTAAAAAAAAGAGGATTTGTTGAAAATTATATTTATCGTCTGCCTTTCTTATTTCTCTAATTCTTAAATATTCCTTTTATAGAATATAAGTAAGTTATTTATATTACATTTTAAAAAATATTCCAAAGCGAAGAATAAAAAAAAGTAATGAAAAAGCAAACTTATTTGCGTAAGATGGTTGCTAACGCCAAACGGTAATTTTACCAATTTGAGCGAGGCCTTTTAAAATGCATTATTTGCGCTTGCAACGCAGCGTTTGAAACGCTCAATTTGTGTCCAGTATTATCATCATAACGCTCACTTAATTTTTATAAATAACGCACCGCTTGAAGATAATGCGCTTACTACAAATCCGCCTTTATGCTAAGGTCATAACAAAGCGTTTGGTAATCATTTTAAACAACACAATTATTAAAGTTATACAGGGCAGTTTAAATGTATCACAATAAAATATAGATTATTTATACGGTCGATAGTCACATACTAAAATGATACTTAAAATTGGAAATTAAAGTAATCTACATAAAGTCCTCCTAAATTATGCCTCATGTAAGACAATAGGGTTTATATGCATTAAAAAGGGGTGAAGGCCTGGTTTTAGCTAGGGTTTTACTTTAAAAATGTATAAGATTACATTTCATAATTCTTCAAATTTGTTTTCGAGATTCATATTATTTATCTCATCTGCTTTTATTTCTATAAAACACAAATAATATGAGATAGGGTAAGTTTCAAAATAAACGAAAAGTATATATGTATATATATATGGGATTTAAAATATATACTTAGCATGTGACTATTTACCGACACCTTGAAAAATAAGGAAAAATTATTCGTAATTAATACAAAAATAGTAAGCAGACGATAAAAATATTTTTTAAATGTAAAATCCTCAAAATGTCTAAAACGATATTACGAAAAAAAAACGAGAGAAATACAATAATTTTATTTAAAAATTCCTGAAAAGGTCTAATCTTATTTTTTAGATGGCCTGACACATGTCAGTAAATTTTTAATGATGCCAATAAATGTTTTAAACTTGGAAAAGATATCGGAGCATATTCGGTGGCTGAAGCCTTTGGCAACTCTTAAAAAACTTTCGTAAAGCCCGTCAATCATTTCCTGGTTTTTAGAATCGGCACCGCCCATAATCAGTCGACGAGCGTATAGGCTCTTAAAAGACTTTTCTAAGTGGCGCGGTGGTACGGGACCCGTAATTTCGTCTACGATTGTGGTGGTAGGCGATATTATAGCTTTTTTCCCGCCTAAAACATCTAATAAGGTATGAAAATACAAAAAAGGCCAATTACAAACATTATAAAATGGCCAATGGTCGATATTTAAGCGGCGGAGTTAGAAGAATTACTGGGAGTGAAGGCTAATGATACTTAGCTATAATTAGTGAGTGATAAGTGATAAAAAAATTGCAAGTAATAATGTCGGGAATTGATTATAAAAAAAATGTATTTCAAGGTTTATCGTTATATTAAATTATTTATTTATGTACGCGATTGTTTAATTATAAGTTTACATCTGAATAACTAACTTATTCATTATGGGGCATAAGTGATGCAAAATCGCCCCATTTGAGGCGATTTTTAAAAACGCGGCCAACTCAATATTTTAGCCAGGAAAAAAAAATATTGTCCTAAACCTCGTGATTTAGCTAATAGATGTCCAAACCTTTGTTGCCATCTCTGTAAGCGAAATCTTCAGACTCGACAGCGATATTTTTCTGGATTAGATACCGAGTTTGCCGTTTTTAAAAAATCGACTCGAATGAAGCGATTCGGCATCGCTAATCGCTGCAGTTATGTTATATTTTTTACTTTAATATTTCGAAAAATTTGTAAATATATATATGTGTGTTTGCGTCAACGTGTTATTCTTTTTGCAACTTTAAATCATTTTTTTTTGAGCGGGTTCTTTAAAAATTCAAACATCTGATTTACCGGAAATGCATATCATGTTTGGAATACCTATCTTACGAATCGTGTAGACAATTTTGCTATATTAACCTTTGAGTTCATTTATAAATTTATGTAAAAAAAAAATATATCGAAAATTTAATACAAATTATTTTAGGTTTTAAAAAGTTCACGGAAAAATTGTAATGAAATTCATTGGGTAAGGTATTCCAAACATGGCGGCATACATTTCCGGTAAAATCAAATTTTTTTAAAATTTAAAAAAAATACGCGCTTAAAAAATGATTTAAAGTTTAAAAAAAATACATTAAAGCAAACCACATTGTGATTGAAAGATGAAAATACAGCAAATAGTTTTAATTTAGTTGACACCTGCGCCTTCTTTACATAAGCTACAATAATCATTGTTATTTTTACAGGAATTAAATTTTTTTAGTTGATTAGCAACTCTATCCGGACCCCCAATAATTTTTCTATCTCTCAAATTTGAGAAATTTATTAAATATTTTAATAAATTGGTAAAATTCTCGTGACAATTGAAAATATAAAAAGTAGAAAGAATTATTGTGTTGAATTATTTCAATATATCGCCAAAAAAATATATAAAGGGGTAGAAAATAATTAAGGTGAAGAGTTAATTTATTTCAAATTATTTAAACCGAAACTAAGCTATCTTCCATAGCTTTTAGGATAACATTCATTGTTTATTAATACTGTTTATACAGTTTCTTTATTTATTATGTATATGTAAATCAAGTATTCTATCACATGACAATTGGTATATATATATATATGATTGATTTGTATATGACATTTATAACATTAATAATATATATAATATATCTCATTTATAACATATCCCCACACATATGATCTTACAACTCCTCAATCAGTCGATTTGTAGGTTTCCTAGCTCTTTGTGATTTCCGCATTTCTAGTTTTCCGTTATCTTCCACATTTTCCAAAATCTCAACTATATCCGACTCTCTATTTTTTTTATTTTCTTCCTCTCTCTCTGACTCCATATTTTCTGGATTTTCTTCCTCTCTCTCTGACTCCATATTTTCTTTATTTTCTCCCCCTGGCCCAGACTTCTCTATTTCTTTAGCTACCTCCATTTTTCGAAGTTGATCCGCATGCTTTCGTACCATTCTATCCTTGCTTTCTACCAAATAAGAATATCTACCAGTTCCGGATTTTTTAACTCCTTCTCTCCAACCTGAATTTATTTCATTATGCACCCATACCGGTTGTGCAATCACAAATTCCCTCATTTGACTATGTTCATCATGCGCTACTTTTTGTCGTATATTCGATCGTTCCATTTCATCCCTAACATTTGGATGTAACCAATAATCCCGTTTTTAAATTTCGCCCCAATAATAACTTTGCCGGTGAACGTCCAGTTGATTGATGTTCACCCATTCTATATGCTATCAAAACTTCTCCCATGGCTTCCTCAGGCTCCCTGATGTCTTTCCTAGTTGCAAAATATAGACTCTTGAGGGTTCGTATTGTTCTTTCCGCTAAACCGTTCGTTTTTGGATGGTACGGTGTTGTATGTATCAATTTAATATTTTTCTCGAAACAAAATTTTCGAAATTCTCCAGAAATAAATTGAGGTCCATTATCTGATACGATTTGTCTAGGTGTTCCAAACCGTGCGAACCATTTCCTTAAAACCCTGATCATTGTCGTGGACGTGGTCTCTCTCATTAACTCAACCTCAACCCATTTAGTATGTGCATCAACTCCAACTAACCATGAATACGAATCAATAGGCCCCGCGAAATCTAAATGAATTCGTTTCCCATGGCATATTAGATATGTTCCACGAATATAAAGGAACCTCCATAATATTCGACCGGTTACTTTGACATGGCATACATTGACGAACATATTGTTCAATATCTTTATCGCAATTAGGCCACCAACAATACATTCTAAAAATTGATTTCATAGCATTTATTCCTGGATGCCCTCTGTGTATAATCGTTAATATTGATTTCCTCAAAACGGTTGGAATTACCTTCCCTTCCCATTCCATTCAATAACATCATGATCTACTGACAATTCCTCTCTACGATTTTAAAAACAAACTAACTCTGTATCTTTTTTCGCATAAAACTCCACCCATCCATGCTCAATGTTTTTTACTACTTTTTTAAGCAAGCTATCATTCCTTGTTTCTTTCTGGAGTTCAACTTGACTAATATTTATATCGTGCAAATTTATAGCTCTGATTTTTAATGCATGTTTTTGATCGTTATTTGACTCTATACCTTCTACTGGCAGTCTAGATAATGTATCAGCTACTATATTTTCTTTTCCTGGACGATATTCAATATCAAAATCATATGCGGACATTTTCCAAGCCCAGCGCGATAATCGACTATTGGATATTTTTGGTAGTTCCCGTTTATCACCAAATAATTTTTTTAAAGGTTTGTGATCTGTTCGCAATATAGATTCTATTGGTGCATAATTTTTCTCTGACTCCAATAATGTTCGCGAGGCAAATGACCTTTTTTACTAAATGACACAACACAGCTCCAAAACCAGTGTTGAAGGCGTCACATTCCAATATAATTGGCAAGTTTGGCGAATATGAAATTAGCGTTTTATTTGTTGACAAAAGCTGTTTTATTTTATCAAATACCTCTTGTTCCCTGTCCGACCAACCCCAGCAACATTTAATGCTTGTTAATTTATGCAGTGGAGCAGCAATTCCATGCAGATGTTGCAAAAATCTCTCGTGATAATTCACAAGTCCTAAAAAAAGATCGTAATTGGTGTATATTATTAGCAGTTGGTATCCTTCGAATAACATCTATTTTTTCTTTAGCTGGGTGTATTCCATTTTTGTCTATTACAAAACCTAGAAAAGAAACTGATTCATTTAAAAAGCGTAATTTGGCCCATTTTGCCTTCATACCCAACTGTTTTAATTTCATTTATACTTTTTTTACGTTATTCAAATGTTCTACATCATTTTTCCCCGTTATGATTATATCGTCAAGATATACTCCGGTCATTTGGCAGTCTTGTAATAAATTATCCATATATCTTTGGGAAATGGTTGGCGCACTAGAAAGACCGACAGGTATACATTGATATTGGAAATAACCAATATGGGTTGATATGGTTAAGTATTCTTTTGAACTCTCTTTTATTGGTAATTGTAAATATGCATCTTTCAAATCTATTACCGTAAATTTCAACCCATCTTTTAATTTGGTTAAAAGATCATCCACCGCTGGTATAATATGACGTAAAAAATATATGGGTTTAATGTCATCTTAAAATCCGCACAAATCCTGATTTCTCCATTTGTTTTGCGTACGTTTACTGTTGGAGTAGCCCATGTCATACGTCTTTTTGTTGGGTCAATCTCCTTCAATATTCCCGATTTAACCAATCTATCGAGTTCCATTTCAATTGGTTTTCGTAATGGAAAAGGTACCCTACGAGCTGGCCATGATTTCGGCCTTGCTGCCTCACTCAGATGTATGCTAACTTCCATATCATTCACCCGTCCTGGCTTGTCATCAAAAACACTAAATTCTGTCGTCATGCCAGCAATTTGTTTATCGGTTGTCATAACCTCTTTACTTGTGATACTACGTATAATAACTTGTCGTGGGATAAACATATTAAATGCCAGTATCCATGATAGTCCAAATAATGGTATGTCATTTGAACGGGTAACCACATTCGGTAGTAATCTGCTTATCTTTTCAAGACGAACCCTTATCATAGTCTCACCAATACATCCAGCGGTTTGTTACCATATACTGACCAAGGTTTGGTTGGTCCAAGCTTGGGTCGGCCAATTTCATCCCAATCACCGATCAGATATCTTAGCACTATTTCTACCAATTTTGGAAATATTATTAATTGAATCTAATGAGTCATTGTCATCTTGATGCATAGCATGTAACTTCCATCCCTTACAATATTTAGCATAATGCCCTACCTTTTGGCAATTATAACATTTCATCCTTGATGCAAAACATTGAAAAGGGGGGTGAGTTCATCCACATTTTGAGCATTCATTGTACTTACACATATCATTATTGCTAAATTTACTGTTATCTCTGAACTTAAAATTATTATTATTATTATTGTAATAACTAAAATTTCCTTTTTCTGTATTATTATTATATGGGTACTTTTGATTAGAAAAATTTCCTTGATTATTCTCTATCTGCTCCTAAGGTTTATTGACTTTTTTATCATCATATTTGTCACTTCATCCTCAACCCTTTCCATTGCCAAAGCCATATTTAAAACCTGTTGAAAACTCACCCTTTCTCCCATGTCATTTATTCCATCTGGAAATCTGGTGCGAATATCTTTCTCTAATGCATTCATAATAAGAACGTCGCTAGCAGAGCGTGCAACTTTTGGGAAATTAGAATTAATGGCGAGGCATTATAATTTTGGATCCAATTACATGCCATGCATGGAATGAACAATGTTATCAAATAGCCTTAAGTCTTAATAATAATTTTGTAAACATATACGCCTATACTGGTAGAAATTGGCAGCTCATTGATACCCTTGAAAAACATGAGTTGAGAGTTACTGCAATTGATTGGTGTCCCAAAACAAACTAACAAGCTACTTGTGGCGAAGATAGAAATGCCTATGTTTGGACTTGCTTTGAAGAAGGATGGAAACCAACTCTTGTTTAGTTAAGAATTAATCGTGCAGCAATGTGTGTGAAATGGTCCCCTAATGACAACAAATTTGCTGTGGGTAGTAGTGCAAAGCTAGTTGCGGTTTGCCATTTTGATGAAGAGAATGATTGGTGGGTCAGCAAACATATTAAAAAATCAATAAAATCTACAGTTACCTGTATAGGTTTGCCATTTTGATGAAGAGAATGATTGGTGGGTCAGCAAACATATTAAAAAATCAATAAAATCTACAGTTACCTGTATAGATTGGCATCCTGACAATGTATTGCAATTGACTTTAAAACTCGGATTTATTCAGCTATATTACCAGAACTTGATAAAAATAATGTTCCATCACTATGGGGAAATGTTGAAAAATTTGGTAGTTTATTAGCAGAATTTACTAATGAATATAGTGGTTGGGTCCTTGGGGTAAGCTTTTCCTCTACTGGTAACAAATTAGCATGGTGTTCTCATGACAGTACTATAAGTCTGATTGATATCTCATCAAATCCTCCTGTAATCTCACCTTTTCAAACCTCATCCCAAATTACCAATCACAAAACCACCTTAAATAATATTTTGAATGATTCCGATACCCTTTTGAATACCTCTAACCTTTCCCCAACTCAGATCGTAACATTATCAAACTCATTAATTACTTCTGGATCTGGGTTAATGATTGTTGAAAAAACGCCTCATTTGCTTTTTAAATCATTACAATGGGTCAATGAAAATACGATCATATTAGCGGGATATGATTGCTGTCCTATGATATACTCCCAGGGAATTATGCTAAATATTGTAAGGGACGGAAGTTACATGCTATGCATCAAGATGACAATAACTCATCAGATTCAATTAATAATATTTCCCAAATTGGTAGAAATAGTGCGAGGATATCTGTTAGGATAAATGGAGTACCTATAGAATTTGACTATGATACGGGGGCACAGCTATCGGTGATTGGGAAACAATATTGGGATGAAATTGGCCGACCCAAGCTTGGACCAACCAAACCTTTGTCAGTATATGGACCAACCGCTGGGTGTACTTGGTGAGACTATGGTAAGGTTTCGTCTTGAAAAGATAAGCAGATCACTACCGATTGTGGTGACAATGGCATACCATTATTTGGACTACCATGGATACTGGCATTTAGTATGTTTATCCCATACTCGTCGCCAATATACAGTTTCTTTATTTAATATGTATATGTAAATCAAGTATTCTATCTCATGACAATTGGTTTATATATATATATGATTGATTTGTATATGGCATTTATAACATTAATAATATATATAATATATCTCATTTATAACACTGTTAAATAAGGTAAATAATATATAAATTGCGCAAATAATAAATATATCAATTATTTCGATTTAAACTTATAAATAAATGATTCTCATGCAAAAAATAATAATTTAAATAACGATTAATAACATTTTGAATCTAACTAAAAATTAATTCCCAACATTATTACTTACAAATTTTCAATTATCATAAATTAGTATCATAATTTCGTACAATTTTTAGACATCCTCGTGGAGCAAAAAAAAACAAATATCTATATTATTTAACAACTATCTAGGTCTTTAAATAATTTGAAGCAAGTTAGGACCATTTAATTCTAAACTGGAATGTTAATCGGTGTAAGTCCCGGATAAAGTAACCTACAATTTTCCTCGTCAAAACATAATTAGCGTTGTTAAAACGGCTCGATTCTTAAAAAATAGTTAACCCTGGATTTCCGCCAAAATATGTTACGCAAGTTCGGGAGACTTTGCTAATAGGTGGCAGAAAGGTTTGGATATCTATTAAAGCCAAACTCAAACCTAATTTTATTTTTGGCTAAAATCTTTAATTTTCGTCGGACCCTTCAACACCAAACATTATATTCTTTTTATGACTTTAGAGAGAAGCCTCTACCAACGACATATAATAATAACTTGACTGACGTTTCATTCATAATAACGCATTCGAAAGCGTCGTTGAATGCAAATCAGCTGGACCCGCCATTTTGGTAACCCGTATAGTAATTATTCTCACGTTAAAAACTACTATTAAATTTGATAACTTGTTTCCTTATATAATCTCGATGATCAGGCAATTCTTTGATAAAGTTTGCGTCAGACATAGGAATAAATTGGCCTCTCGTTTAAAATTTTTAATAATGATATGGGTAATCAAAATGGCGCCCCCAGCTGTTTTCATTGATGTACACTTTTAATAAATGCATCGGCAATCTAGGTAATATCGTTGGCCTCTATACAATAAATAATAATTATCTGAAGTTTAGTCACATAATGTTGTTTTTTATATAATCTAAATAAGTAGGATAAAAAAACACCAAATTTTTTTTGAAGAAGAAAAATCTTACCATGTTTTTTTTAGATTTTTAAAAAAACGAAAGAAAACAATAATTTTGTTTTTTAATTTTGGAAAAATGAGTATTATTCATACATGGTGCATTCCATTTAAATTCATCCATCATCCCAGCCTTCGCGTATATTGACGACAAACTTGGTGCAGGTATAGGTGTCATGGCGATATCGACTTTATAAAGAAAAAAAAATATATATATAAACGATTAGTTTGAAATGACAGAATTCGGTAAATTTATTTATTTTTCGGTCAATCGAAGATAGAACATTATATCATAGCCTAGAAGTGGAAGGAGGAACTTGGTATAAATATACCCCCAAAAAATAATAAGATATTCTAAAATTGAGATTTAAAAAAAAAGGTTTTATGAAAATGATTTAAAATATTGAGAAGTTTCCAAGAATCAAGTCATTTTAGATGACTGACATCTCTTTTTTAGAAATAGTCCTTGGTTCCTTTGAGAATCTCTACCTGATCCTTGTGTCAATCTTGGGCTTGTATTTTGGACCAAGACCTTAAGAAATACAAATTAGGGTCCCATTCGGACCTTAGAATAAATCGGGCTATTTCCGGTCTAAAAAAATTAATTTCCTTTTTGAAATAGATTCGCTAACAAAAGAACTTTGATTTAAAAAATTTTACAGAGCATTACTAAAAAATATCGGGCGAAGTTAAAGTATGTTTTACAGAAGAAGAAGAAAAAAAATAAAGAGACACACGTGATTCGTATTTATTTTTTACGCCATCTTTAAATTTTAAATTCTATGCGCGTATAGTATTTGCTAAAAAAATGAAGGATCAAATGACCCCAATTAAAATTGGCGCCTAAATAACAGATTTAAAGGAAGCATATTTGGTTAGGTACAGATTACACCTTCCCTCCGATCTCAAACTAATAATAAAAAAAAAAAACGCCATAAATTTTACCCTCCTTTTCAGCGTCATCTATAGTCATGGCTTCTTCCATATTCTGGATTCCTGTATCGGTGCCGTTCTCGTCAGCAAGAACGAGCTTTAAAAAGACGTGCCCCTTCCCTTCGGCTTTGGGCGAGGAAACATTTCGCATTTTGACCATACGCAAAAAGGGGGTAAGCGAAGGAGTCGTCGGATTGTGATTATCGATTAGATTTAAAACGCGGAGAGCCGCTTTCACGCTTTCCAAATCGGTTTGGGCCAAATGATCCAACATGTCTAATAGTTTGCTTTTTATAGAAAATTGTGATGATCAGAAGAAAAAAAAGAAAAGGTAGGTAGGTGAGTACAACATTAATATTTTTTTTTTGGAGCTTGGGCAGGGCCTAAATTTTATTAATTATGTCATGACTACCGATGTCAAACGGCCCATTTTGAGCCGAGTTTTTACTTAACGGCTAATTCAATATTTTATTAGGAACTCAAGATTTTGCTCATAAGGGGCACACAAAGGTTTGAACATCTGTTAACGAAATCTCGAGGCTTAGACAATATTTTTTTCTAGCTAAATTACTGAGTTAGCCGTTCTCAAAAATCGACTCAAATTGAGCCGCAACACTAGTTACGACCGGCCCGCTTTCGTGGGACCAATACGCTCCCCTTAAATCTACGACCTCGGAAAATTTAAATTTCACCCTGGACATTTACACGCAAATACTAAACAATAAGGTCGAGATGGGGAAAGGGGAAGGTGGGGGGGGAGAGGAGGCGTGATAAGAAATGTCATCAACTTGATAGTGTATTTGGGTAGGGCGAACAGTTGAACGTAACCGAAGAGTTGGGTGTAGAACGCCGAGTTATCCGAGTTCTTATTAACCGCCATTTTGTAGTTGAGTCTGACAAAGCTGGTAAGGTCAGCCAAAGCCATATCCACTATAACAGAATTTTTTTCTGAATAAATTTTTTTTTTTATATTAAGTACCAAACTATTTCTACATTTTTTTTTTATTTGAACTTTCAAACCTATATACTCATCTTCCTCGTGGTGGCAATAAAGCATACGAGTCCTGAACTTGAAGGGTACGAAATCAATAATAGACCTAGGCTGGTATATAGCCCCATCTAAATTGACGTTTTCTATCGATCCGAGAGGAAATATGGATATAATGGCCGATTCTGGAGGAGGCGGAATGTTGTCGTTGGAATGAATCGAAGAGGGAAACCAAAATTGGGTCAGGTGTTCGAGCTCTTCGAAATTGGGGACTATTATTTTTAGGGTGAAACCAAAAAAATCGTTTTGAATAAATTAGTTACTATGTTCCTCGTGTGTGTAAAATTCAAAATTTTTTGCTTTTGTGGAAAAATATTATATATATTATTTTTACTTCCATAATTCTTATTCCTGACAGCCAGTATCAAGAGCAGATTAGCCGTCACGACCTTAGCCGGGAGCACCAAACAGTAACCGGGGGGTAAAAAATGTCTCTGCAAAATTCTGAAAGGTTCCATATCTTCTTCTGTATCCCCTAGTTGCGATCTGGCCAATTTGTCGCTAACCGCTGCGTTGCATCCCTTCAACAACGGTTTAGCAATATTTGTACTAGCAGCATCCATTTCCGGCTCTGATATTTCTGTCATCGCTGGATGATGATCTAACACCGATTTACAATATAAAAATAAATTTTTTTAAAAACTTGGGGGTATGAAAATAATTTTTAGAAAAATTTAATCTAATTAATATTAGAATATAAATTTAAGGCAAACACGTAGAATAAGATACAGAGTTTGATAGAAAAATTATAAAAATTGCAGATTATTTAAAAAGATCAAAATTCCTCTTTAAAAAATTTGGAATTTCAAAGGTAAAATTTGATCAAAAATTTTGTTTGAGCGGATTCTCGAAAAGAATCTTCAGGAATCAAATTCTTTGAAGATCTTTTTTATTCCGAAAAAACATTTCAAACTCCGATTAGGGGATATAGCATTCCTTTTATTTTCAGTTTAAATTTTTTAAAAACTTATAAACAAAAAAATAAATAAATAAATTCTTATGTTATATTTTTCGGGGTTTAACATTTGCTCTCAAAATTCAAAAATCTTCAAAAAATAATCGTTCTTTTGAAGATCAAAAAATGTGAAGATTTTTAAGCAAAATGAAAAGAAAGAATATGGATGGGTCCACATTTTTTTTTTCAAATTTATTTTAATGGATCAAATGATCCAGACAATTTGCAAAATCCTATCAATCCTTTAACAACTATGCCAGGTATGGTTATTAAGTGATCTAACTATTGAGTCAAATAAAAATCATATTTTATATCTCTAATAAGGGCCTTTGTCTAAGATATTTATCATAACTATCATGTTCTTTTTATTACCAATAATTAACTACAGAGGAAACCATCTTACTTTCCACGGATCTCTTTAAAAATTGTTTTTTTTTCCTCCGCTCATTCTCTTCTGGTACTCATTTATGGTAAACGCGTTATTTAACGCAGCGTGTTATGACAGCTGACTGAGTTTAGAAAAAAAACTAATTTAAGATAAAGCTAAAATAGAGACAACTATTTTATATAATATTTTAAAAAAAACCATATAACTTAATATCGAATTCGTTATTTTTATAATCGTATCACATTTTCAACGCATCATACCATATGTTTTTCAAATTTTATCGTAGCGTTATCATCGTAACGCTTCACATTTATAAATTTATACCTATTTAATGGATTTATTTTATAATAACGCAACGGCAATATAAAATAATTATTAATATTTTAGCTTTTTCTTAAATTAGTTCTTAAAACTGAATCAGCTGTCATAACACGCTTCGTTAAATAACGCAACGCTTGAAGATAACGCGTTTTATAATAAATGAGGTCCAATACTAAAATTCATGATTTTTTTAAATAAACTTTGTTCGCAGAGCAGCATAGCCCTGTAAAGGGAATCCAAACTGTTAGTTTCTATCTGAAATTTGAGGGCTTGCTGTATGAAGGAGACAAACAATTTGACAGTCACTCGCGACGTGACATCGTTATTGGCGGCGACCTCGTCCCCATTTTCAGGCGAATCACTCGTTCCTCCGAATTTTTCGACGGACAGACAACGCGTCAATATTTCGAAACGATCTATAATAAAATCTGACAGAGTCTTCGCGTTATTATTTTTTTTTTATATATAAAATGCAACAATTTATTAAATTTCTTTCTAATATTTTGTCAACCATTTTTTTTTTTAAATACAAATAAAATTTGTCAAACAATGACATTATATTTTTCACTCAACCATGAGAAGAATGATAAGCTTAGGAGATGAAAAATCCTATGAGGTTGAGAAACAGAGATTTCAGGATTACTTTCTTCACCATACAAATAATGAAAATATGATTTAAAATTTTTTTTTTAAAAAGGATCGTGATACAAGGACAAATTTTCCGCTAATGGCAAAGATACTTTATATTTCCGTTGATAAAATTTTAGTACCAAAAAAAAATGCAAGAAAAATTCATAAATCATGCAAATTCTTCTGTATAAAAAAAAATAGTATTCAAAAATAAAAAATAATTTTGAAATATAGCAAACACCTTTAAATATGATTGGGACGTATTTAAAACAAAAATTTTAAATAATCGAGTCGTAAATGGACGTGAATGGCAAAAATATTTAGCATAAAAAATGCGAAGAAAAATTATATAAAATTTGAATTCGATAATTTTATTTTAAAAGTACATATTTGAATTATTTTTTGCTAAAAGTGGGAACCTCAAATTTCAGCCATTTTGTTTTTTAAACAAACTCAATTTAAATACAAGTGGCTTTACTCCTTTCCTTAGCGTCCATTATATTATTTCCAATATTGTTTCAAGAATTTTCTTAGGAGGTATCATTTTTTTAGCGATTTTTTGTTTTCGCGATTTCTAACCTATCCTCCAACATATCAAGGCTGAGAATCCGGGCCGTGACTAGAGCTAGCACCCGTGATATTTAGTAAAATATACTAAAGCTAACACCATGATAATTAATAACATTTTATCACGTGACAATTCATTTTCATATGATAACCCGCTTAATTTAAAAATATATTTTAATGTGTCTATTTTTTGAATTAGACAAAGTTAGTAATAATTTTTGTAAATTGATTAATTAAATATTAAAATTTTATTTATAGATATGCCTATAGATGTATAGAACCTCCATAGTCCATACAAGCAATTCAAATTCGGAATTAGACAAAGTTAGTAATAATTTTTGTAAATTGATTAATTAAATATTAAAATTTTATTTACAGATGATACATTTAGGAGCAATATTTTCATCATATGATTCACTTAGTAGCATTATTAAAGAATATGAGCAGTCATGCCTAGTTAATTTATATATTGCAAGGTCTACATTGTTAAAAGCTCCCCATCCTGAAGAGCTCATAAATCTTTTTAAATATCAAAAGGTTTATTATTCTTGTAAATATGGGGGATCCATACAAAAAAATCGCTCAAAAAATATAAGGAATACTTCAACATTTCGTAAAATGTGCTCTTTTAAATTTACAGTGTGTCTAAAATACAAAGATACTACCCACTTCCTACAAATTGTGACTATGGTCAATAAACATACAAACCATGATTTAGGTAAAATTTTACATAATAAATTTATAATAATCATAATTAGATAAAAATACATTTGAATCTCTTCCTAAACAAAGAGTACTTTCTCTTGAAGAGAGAGAATCAGTTGAAAAGTACTTAAACTTAAAAGCTAACAAGCTAAAAATACAAGAATCCATGCTTAAATTAGGAAAAAATATCACCCTTAAAGATATTCACAATTTACAAACTAATATTAATAAATCAAAGTGTAATGATTTAGCCAGCATTTTCCAGCTGCTTAAAGGAAATAAAGGATCTATTGTTGAGGTCACTGAAGAAAATGATATTCTATTAGGAATTTTTTTTCAAGATGAGATGATGCAACATAATCTCAAAAGATATCCAGAGGTTATGTTTGTGGATGCAACCTACAAGCTAAATAATTATGGGATGCCTCTCTTCATTACCTTAATAATTGATGGAAATGGTGAATCACAAATAGTGTCACTTTGGCTTGTACAAAGTGAAAGCTATAAATGTGTAAAAAAAATGTGTGATATTATGAAATATCATAATAATAATTTAACAAAGCTTGAAGTTATTGTGGCTGATAAAGATATGGCAGATAGAAGTGCCTTCTATGAAAGTTTCCCAGCAGTAAATATTCACATATGTATTTTTCATGCTTTGAGGATATTTAAAAGAGAGATTACAGCTGAAAACTGATTCTCTCTCTTCAAGAGAAAGTACTCTTTGTTTAGGAAGAGATTCAAATGTATTTTTATCTAATTATGATTATTATAAATTTATTATGTAAAATTTTACCTAAATCATGGTTTGTATGTTTATTGACCATAGTCACAATTTGTAGGAAGTGGGTAGTATCTTTGTATTTTAGACACACTGTAAATTTAAAAGAGCACATTTTACGAAATGTTGAAGTATTCCTTATATTTTTTGAGCGATTTTTTTGTATGGATCCCCCATATTTACAAGAATAAGAAACCTTTTGATATTTAAAAAGATTTATGAGCTCTTCAGGATGGGGAGCTTTTAACAATGTAGACCTTGCAATATATAAATTAACTAGGCATGACTGCTCATATTCTTTAATAATGCTACTAAGTGAATCATATGATGAAAATATTGCTCCTAAATGTATCATCTGTAAATAAAATTTTAATATTTAATTAATCAATTTACAAAAATTATTACTAACTTTGTCTAATTCCGAATTTGAATTGCTTGTATGGACTATGGAGGTTCTATACATCTATAGGCATATCTATAAATAAAATTTTATTATTTAATTAATCAATTTACAAAAATTATTACTAACTTTGTCTAATTCAAAAAATAGAAACATTAAAATATATTTTTAAATTAAGCGGGTTATCATATGAAAATGAATTGTCACATGATAAAATGTTATTAATTATCATGGTGTTAGCTTTAGTATATTTAACTAAATATCACGGGTGTTAGCTTTAGTATATTTTACTAAATATCACGGGCGTTAGCTCTAGTCACGGCCGAGAATCCGCTTACCTTAAAAATTCATAGTGGCGCGATGGCGCTTTAACAGCTGATCGATTTTTTTTAAAAAATCTGTTTATGAGATCAATTATCATTTATTAATATTAATTTTATCTTTAATCCAAAATAGATTTTTTTTAAAAAAAATGTCAGCTGTTAAATCGCCATCGCAATCGCGCCATCATGAATTTAGGGTTACGATTTTACTGAACCCGAACCCATTGGCTAACATTTTTGTATAAGCTGTGCAAATATCGTTCAAAAATTTGGATATTTAAATCGTCTGCGCATTTAATAAAAAAAATTTTTTATCGTCTGCTTATACTAATTGCAAATAATTCCAAATAATTTCCATATTTTAAAAAGTAATAAATGGGCCATTATAAATATTTTTGAAATGTTCCTTGTATGCTCTTTCCCAAACATTAGTACGTTCTGGAACAGCCCTAAGGGCGAATTTATAGTAAACGCGATATGTTCAAGCTGTGCATTAGCAAAATCAAGCCAATAAATAGGTATATTTTATTAATAGCAAATTTGAAAAACATATGTTGCGACGTGTATTTCAAAAATTATTAACGCTATGATTAATCGGAGCGGATTTCGATGGCGTTAAATAAATAACGCAACTCTTGAACCTAACGCGTTTACTATAAATTCAGCGTAAAAGCTTCTCTCCTGGCATCAATTTTTCATGTTGATTTCAAAACGGTAAAAAAAAAATTTGTAGCTAAAAGATAGGAAGTCATGTTTTGACAATCACATTTTTTACCGTTTTAAAAGCAACGCAAAATAATACGCTCGGACAACCTCGTACAATGTGAATAACTGATTTATCCTTTTTCATAATGTTTGTTATGAAGGGTATATAAAATAATCATTAAAAATTTATTATAAAATTGTATTTTTCCAAATATAAAATCTAACGATATTTTATAGAATTTAATATTAATTTTTCTCGTATTTATCATATGAAAACGGTGTTGCAAGAGGCTGGATTATTTAAATAATTATAACAATAAGAGTAAAATACCATCCCATGATACGCGCACATTTTATTGGAGGGCATTTTGTCGTTAAGCGTAGTGCTGTTAAACGGCTCGATTTGAGCCGATTTTTAAAAATGGCGAACTCGATATTTTATCCAGAATATTCCAAGCCTTAAAATTTTGCACATAGATGGCACAAAGATTTCAACATCTATTAGCAAAATCTCGGCTAAAGGAGTGGGGGGGGGGAATAAAAAAATGGAAATAGTGATTACCAAAATAACGAATGCCAATTCTTTCAATCCGATTCCTTCTTTTGCTTTTCCCTCCCCTTCCGTCGTTTCTTCGACACATTCTTCGTGCGCCTTTGATTCCTTCGCGTCCTCACTTTTTCGACGACTCTTCGTAACGTATTCCAGCAGGCCTTTCAGATAAGTCAGCACTCTAACGGGATCCGTCTCGGCTCGGCTCAGAGCCGCGCATGCCACGCGCGTAGCTATATCGTCACCGCGAGAGCCCCAAATGACGGGAGCCACGAGAAAAATTTCCGAGTAAACGGCCGATAAGAAATCGGATGTTACGGGGTCGGTCGAATTTGGGTTACTAGAAAATACGGAGGAAAGAAAATTGGGTAGAGAACCGAAACGCAAGCATATGTGGTCCGTGAAAGTATCGTAGAGAGTGAACAGCGAAAGTATCTTAATGTTTTTATTTAATCATACAAAAAAAAATGATAGCAAAATATAAAATTTTATAAAACAGCTGATATGTCGTATCCTGCGGTTCGATTTAATACTTTTAGCCCGAGCTGGGCTGAACTTAGGACACTTTATTTTGGCTTGTTTTTTTCTCTTACTTTTTTGGCTAATAAATTGAACCAGGTATTTTTTTTTTCAGAAAGTCTTTTAATATTAAAATAATTTTAATTATACAATCGTAGTGCCTAGCGCCTATCTTGTATAATTTATTGGATTGTTTCTAGCTATTAAAAAAAACACATTGTTTTTTTTTCAACCCTTTAGAAGCATGTTTAAAAATAAAATCCAAGAGTTTTTTTTGTGAGGGTGAATACATAACCTAAACTTAAACTGCTATATCTCTCAGTAATTAATTTATCTCTCCTAATGATATATATTAAAAACATTCATCTTTATTTTTAAAAATAAACAATTAATTACTGAGTGTTTTAAAAATTTAATTAAAATTATAATTTGAGCCTGTTTTCCCACTGTTTTTTTTTTACATTCCTGGATAATTCTCGGCGGAAATTTATTTTTTAGACCGATCCGGTAAATCCTAAAATATATCCGGTAGAGGGGCTGGGCTCTAAAATATAAAATGTAATTTTTCTTTACTTTATAGCTTTGAGTTCTGACGTGAGATGATAGGTGGCACAAATGTTCGCCAAAAAAATTCATGATTTCCGTCTTTTTGACCAATTTTTTAGCGGCATTTTCGTCCCTATGGGTCGTGTTTGTTTCCGGGGTGGTAGAAGCGTTCTTAGCGGCTTCCATGGATTCTTGATTATCGTCGGTCGCGTCCTATATAAATTTTTTTAAAAAAGAGAGAAATCATTATCTTGGATAAATAAGTGATTTTTTATATTATATATACGTATGGGGTTTCGGAATTCGTGGGGATTCGGAATTTCTCAATTTTAAAACATTTACTATAGGGCGATTTTTGGATTTTAAAAATAGGAATTGTATTCCAGCATGTTTAGAGTTATTACCTTATAAATTTCAGCCAATTTCAGCGATAGACATTTTAGTATTTTTTTTTAATTTATGCGAAAAATCCATACAGAAATTAATGTAAATTAGAAGTAGTTTCTAAAGTTCGTGGCAAAAATGGCTGAAATTTATAAGGTAAATACTATACATATGTTAGAATACATTTCCGGTTAAATCGAACTTTAAATTTTTTTTTAATCGCTCTCGGTAAAGGATTTAACATCAAGAGATTCGGAATCCAATCCCAATACGCGACATATATATATATATTTCGAAATGGGAGATTTTGAATTCCCCAAAAAATTGACAACGATAGGTCCCGATCTTGGTGGATATCTTAAATAGGGGATAAAGATAGAAAATCTATTGATGCTGCTATAACTTAAAAAGGAATTAAAATCCTATAAGAATAAGTAATAATTGTTTATAATATTTTAATAAATATATATATCAGAGTTGTTAAAGGATCTAGATACAAGTATCTAGATCCTGTATCTAGATATAAAAATGTGGTATCCGTATCTGTATCTAGATAGATTTTTGATTAAATAATCTGTATCTAGATAATATTTTAGACGTTGTTCTCTGTATCTAGATATTATTTTAGACGTTGTTCTTTGTATCTAGATCCATTTAAAAAGTATCTTTTAACAACTCTGATATATATATATAATTATATAAAATTTCTTGTAGAAATTTTTGCAAATTGTAATTGTAAAAAAAAACCATTTCAATAAAAGGCTTGTAATTTTTCCAAGAAATTTGAGATAAATGTAATGTCTGATCTGCTAAATATTCATTTCTGTGATAATGATCATGAATAGTTATCTAATAATTCTATTATCATAATTTTCCTTAAATTTATTGAATACTTTATTTTAATATATTTATATCAAAATGATGCTCAATTAATTTTTTTAAAAAAAAATCTTTTTGATTTAAAAAATTATAGATTAAAAAAAAAAGGTGCTCAATAAACTCAACAAGATATGGATGCAATATCAAACAATTTTATCTTTTTAAGCATATAAAATTCACAAAATACTTTATTTTAGTAAAGTATGTTTCCTCTGGTTTAAAATTATTATAAAATATAAAAAATATATATTTAAAAAAAACAATTTGTTTATTTAAATCGTTATAAGTAGTATTGTTAAATGGCTTGATTTAAGCACATTTTTAGATACGGTTAACTTCAATATTTTAGCCAGAAAAATCTTGTTCGAGATTTCGATAACAGATGTTCAAACCTTTATGTCACCCTATGAGCAAAATTTTAAGGCTTGAATAATATTTTTCCCAATAAAATATTGAGTTAGCCGTTTTTAAAAATCGGCTCAAACTGAGTCGTTTAACAACAGTAGTTATAAGTATTTAATGGTTAAAAAAAATAATCAAAATCGCTAGCAGTAAAAAAAACGTAGTTCGAAACGTTGTGTTTAAAAATGGCCTATCTCAGATCTCTGTATTATTTATAAATAAAATTACGCCACATTTACTAATGTTAGATTTAGAATGAGGATAAATTGTCTTACAGTCGAAACCGTTTAATCGCATATGGCTTAGATGCGAACACTTTTTAAATGCGGAGAGACCCCCGTGATTTTGATAATGTTAATTGAGATTGATTTATATATATTTATATATATCTAAATTCGTTCAACTTAAATTGCTATTAAATATGCTAGCCTGTAACCTTGTTTTTCGCTTTAATTGATTTTTTTTTCTTTTGGTTACTTTTTTAATTATTTGTAGTTTTCAAATTTAGTAATATAAATTTAAAATAAAGAAATTTTTATATATCAACGTTTTCTTATCTTTTACTATGGCATAATGTTAAATTACATTTATAATTGTGTAATTTTTCAGGTCCCATTTACATGATAATAACATTAATTTAATCGGATACGCGAAAAAATAAAAAAAAAATTTATCGAAAAAAATATATCCGCCAATGGTATAATTTTATTATATACAATAATCATATTATAATTATTTTTAGAATAGTTAACCCCCTCAAGGAAAAGGAGGAAATCATTGAAAATTTAAGCACCACTTCAAAACCACAATTAGCGTTAAGTTATAAATGTCACGTTTCCATGATTTACCGATTTGGAATCTAATGAAGCAAGCACATGCTGATAATTTCTAAGGAATAACCTCCCCCCCCCCACCCCGCAACTAAAAGAGTTAGAATGAGTTGTTATCCAAAGACAGAGGCAGCTTGGTTTAGTCTACCCAAAAGCGAAGTTAAAATTGAAGTCTAAATGGGCCAGAGATGTTAGAAATAGCTATGTTTTTTAGCCCAAACATTCAATGAAGGTAAATTTAAATTTTTATAATATGTATAATTATAAATTATAGGCATTCCTAGTAGCAGCTGATTGCAGAAATTTGGGGGACAGAAATATATTTTTTTCATAATGTTTGCGATGAAAGAGGAAACGTGGATATTATTAATGCAAATGATTGGAGGAAAAATACACTCCCATCTCCGATTAAAGATTATGAAAGGAGTAATATTTACGATTGTGATGAGACAGGACTATTCTACAGAGCATTACCGAAGGGGCAGAATAGAGTTTAGTGGGACTCGACCACTGGGCTTCAGACCAGATAAGGAAAAAGTCTCAGTTCAATTTATCATAAATGGCGATGGTTTCGATAAAAAGTCACATGATGAAAGAAAATTTAAAGACCATAGTTACTTTTAAAAATAAAAAAATTACCAGTGAAATACTAAGTAAAATCAGCTGGATGACAACTTCAAATTTTGAAGATATCTGTAATATAAATGTAATTGTAAATTGAATTTGAATTGAATATAATATTAACTTTTCGTTTGTAAATTACATAACCTGAAGGATTGAATTCATTATATATATATACGTGATATTTTGTATTAAAAATACTTTTACTTACTTTACTTATTTTACTTATTTAATAAAACACTTTATTGGCGACGATTTTTAGAGAAGATTTATTTGATTTATTAAATTTAAAGTAAAAGACTCAATGGAAGTAGCTCCTATTAAAGTTGAAGATTCAATGGAAGTAGTTCCTATTAAATTCCATATTCCAGAATTCGTCAAAGAATTAGTAAATATTCAGGACTACTTATTTAACTTGGAGTTAATTTATAAAGTAAGAAATATTATAGATTTAAATACAAAAAAAGACCTGCTTTTAGCCTATATCGGAACAGACAATCTTATCAAAATTAAGAACTTTCACTTTCCAATAAATTTAGAGATGATAAATTATGATACTTTAATAAAAAGCTTAAATTTGGTGTTCAAGGATAGTTCGGGCATTTTCGTAAATAGGAAAAAACTTTTTACGTTAAAAAGATGCAGTGAGACGATTATTGACTTTTCAATTAGGGTTAAAACTGCCTATTCTCTTTGTAATTTTAAACCGCCTTTTGATGAACTTTTAAGAGATATATTTATCCTAGGAGTAGGCTTACCTGAGTTGGACAAAGAACTTCGGTCAAAGTATATCGAAGGCAATATTACTTTTGAAGAGACCGTGCGTTTAGCGATAGCGCTGTCTTCGTTGGAAAATGAAACCCAGACTGAAGTTAATAAAATAATTAAAAATAAGCCAACACAGGGTTCGAAAAATAATTATTTTAGAAATATTAATTATACAAACGTCAATAGATTTAATAATAATAAACACTTTAGTAATAATTATATTCCTAATAATAATTATAGACCTAGTATCAAACCTAACTCTATTCAAAATAAAGTGATATGCTTTCGTTGCGGTAAGGCAAACCACATAGCGAAAGATTGTAGAACCCATGCCATACAAATGATTCTGCCACGGACACCTCGCCTGTCATTTTCAAATAAAGCAACCATCGATGCGAAGATAAATGGGTTGCAGCTAGCTATGAAGTTTGATACCGGCGCCGCGTGTAGTGTGATTGATGAGGTCACCTGGAATCGTATTGGCAGACCACAACTATCACCGGCTTATAAATTAGTGGGATATAATCATATCCAAATCGAAGTACTAGGTAAATGTACCGTAGAAGTCAAAGTAAAAAATATTTCAAAATTTTTACTTATTTGGGTAGTTAAAGAGATTTCCCTTATTTTTGGGATGCCTTTCATTAGAGAATTTGATATAAAACTACCGGAAGAATTTCGTATTAATAAAATAAATATGAAGGTTCCCTCTTTAAATACGATTGCTTCAAAATTCCCTCAAGTTTTTAAAAAAAAATTAGGTGAAATCAAACTGCAAAAGGCAGTCATCCGAATAGAACCGAACACGTTACCGATTGCATTACCAGCAAGAAGAGTTCCTTTTCCGTTGCGTCGAACCATTGAAGCTGAGTTGGACAGACTTTTAGACGAAGGCGTTATCGAGAAGGTGGATCCAACAATAACTCCAATCACTTGGGCTACGCCAACGGTTAATATCTTAAAGAAATCCGGTGCCGTACGGATATGCGGAGATTTTCGTTTAACAATCAACAAATATCTAGCGATCGATAACGATTTACTACCAACTTTCGTCGACCTAACAAATAAGATCGCGGGTGGTAAAATATTTTCAACAATAGATTTAAGAGATGCATTTTTACAATTCGGAGTTAGTCCAGAATGTAGGGACCTTTTAGTAATTTCGACACATGTCGGTTATTACCGATACCAAAGAATTCCATTTGGTTTGACTAGCGCTCCGATAATATTCCAACGCTTTATGAAAAACCTATTAATTCCTATGGTTAGTGTATTTTTAGACGACATAATTATTGCAGGTGAGAATAATTCCGATCACATAGTTAATTT